AGCCAGATCCTCCAGAGTGGTGGCCTCAGGAAGCACCCCAGGGCAGGCACCTGCGTGTCCCAGCCTTTGGCTTCTCTCTGTGGGCCTCATGCCCACCTGCCTTCTTCTTGGACCCTCTTGGAGTGTCGCAAGCAAGGCAGCCCCTCTGTGGACCCAGGCAGAGGGGGAGAGGCGAGCCTAGAGCCCTCAGTGGCTTTTTCAGGCTTTCAATGATCTTTCTACACCGTCTGTAGGGAGGCAGCCGGGTGCGGGGCAGGTGGGGGGCCGGGGCTGGCAGGACCCCCAGCCCCCAGCAAATCTCTCACTGGCATCCTGGCGTTCTAGTGGGCTCTCCGCCATACTCGGCCCTCTGTGGCGCCGCCCTTAAAGCTCCGCCTCCCGGCGCAGGTGCGCCCTGCACGCGTGCTCCATCAGTACTCCAGGTGTCCACCATCAGGCACGCGAGCTCCACGCCCAAGCGCCCACAGCCTCCTGCATTCAAGGCCGCAGGTGGTAGCCACAGAGGCTGGCGGCGAACAGCCTGAGCATTAGTTTTACCGTACACCTCTAGTACGTATTCGGCCTGAGAACAGCCTCCTAGAAGACCAAGTATTGACAGTAAAACAAACAAACACCTGACAGTTCTGCTCTTCTAAGCTGGAGGCTTCATGGTCCCAGCCCCTCCCACAAAAAAAACTCACCAACTCGAGCGTGTGATTACCTAGCACGCTGAGTAGCCTCAGAGCCCCCCACCCTGGCACACAGGAGCTGATAAATCCAGGGGGGGCCCGGGGGGGTGGAGTTACGAAAAGCACAGTAGAGCCGGAGGATGCCACCTGGTGAAGGGGCATTTCATTCAGGTCCCGGCTCAGTTACTTCTTTCCTGTGTGACCTTGAGCAGGAACTAGGCCTCAGTCTTCTCATCTGTGAAGTGGGGATGACCATCCAAACCACAAGGCTAGGCCCTGGTGCGCACCAGGTTAAAGTGCAGTGCTGTGAAGCTCTCTGCACTCAGCAGCACCAGTTCAACCCTGGCCAGGGAGGGGACCCACATGGCACAGCAGGCCTCTCCTGTCTTACCCACTGCTGCCCTCAGCAGTGTATTTCAGTAGATCTGCCTGTTCTGCTCCCCACTCTGTCTCTGGTGAATCCTCCCATTCCCACCCATCCTGCTCCTCTGGCCTGTACCCCAGTTCTTGTATGCATAAATAAATCAATCCTTAAAAATTTCAAATCACAAGGGTGATGTGAGGGTTACATGAGATGATATAAATGTCAGTTTGGCATCCAGACTGGGGGGGGGGCGAATGTTAAGTCTTAGAGCTGTGCCTTGTAAGCCGTGAGTCACAGCTGTTCACAACTGCTAAGAAGTCAGTTTATTGGTTTGCAACAGCATTTTTTGAAAGACATAAAAAAAAAATAAATTACACGTTGGAGGGTACATCCTGGTTCATAAACACTGTGTGAGTACATGCACGCAGGAATTTACTGTTGTGGGCTACAAATGAAAAGATGTGAAACCCCTGAGAGCCCGTCATCTGGCCACCTCTGAGAAGGGCCCAGTCGCACCTCTGACCTGACACGCTGACGACAGAGGAGCAGGGCGGCCTGCCGTGTGGGGCCCACAGCCTTGGGTCTCTGCCTCCCTCGGGAGCTTCAGTTCCAGGACATTCACAGCGGGGCATTGGTGCCTTGTCTACAAATCATAGCTCGCACGTCTCCTAGAAGAGGCCCAAAAGGCCCCGCTCACACCGGCTCTGTAAGAGAAGCTGGTTTAGGCCGGAGCCAGCTCACTAGGAGCCAGTCATTCTTGTTTCCTGGGGCCTGACTAGGGTGTGACTGGGCTTCTGCTTACCTCCAGCTTACGGCCGTTGCCTCGGACAGCTTAAATCCCACCAAGCTCAAATTGAGCTCCCAGGAGAGAGAAGCCCACTGACTGCGGAGCGGGACGGTCCAGACTCCCAGCAGCAAATTCGCTTGCAGCATTTTCTTTCCTGAGGCAGAGCTGACACTGCCCACTTCGCTGCTGGGGAGGGAAGCTGTGTCTGAAGGCAGGACAGGCCCCTCTGAAAGGCTTTGACAAGTTTCAGAGGAAGTTGTGCAGAGCCTGGGAACACGGTGGTGGGAACGTGCCACCGGGACGCAATTAGTGCCGTGGGCTCTTTGTTTCCTTCTGCGGCCTTCCTCTGCCTCGAGACCAGCAGTGCAGACGGGCCGTGGGCAAACTGAAGTCACACTGAGCAGAGAAAAGGCACCAGTGTTGGTCCCGGTGCTGGTCCCAGGACGAGCTTTGTCCTCTCTGAACCTCTGCTTCCCCACCTACCCAGGGTCGACACTAACACCCACCTCCCTTCAGGCTGGCAGTGAGGACCACCCTCGGTGTGGGCACAACCACCTGGCACTTCCAGGTGTCCCCTCTGTGCCCCTTGGACCTGGGTTTATTACCTGGGGGAGGAATGCAGCATCCCCAAAGTCAGCCACCTGCTAAGTGGGGAGGACTGATGAGGGCTTTGCCCAAGCATCCTGTACTCAGGACCCACAGGGGCTCCCCAAAGCTTGTGTTATCAAGGTTCACTTTCTTTTTTCTTAGGATCTTGCAAGTTTTCTTATTTTTTTTTTTTAAGATTTATTTATTTATGTCAAAGTCAGAGTGGGGAGCAGAACAGGCAGATTGACGAAGTACATGGCTGACGAAGTACATGGCAGTAGGCGGGTCAGGAGAGGTCTGCCGTGCCAAGTGGGTCACCCTCTGCCCGCCAAGGGATCGAAGTGGCATGGAAAGGGCGGTGGCCAGCTTCTCAGTGCTGTGCTTTAAACTGTTGTGTCACCAGGGAGGACCTTCTTCTTTTTTTAATTTATTCATGTATATAAGAACTGGGGTACAGGCCAGAGGTAGAGGAGGTGAGAGGATTCGTCAAGATAGAGCAAGAAGCAGAACATATGGATCTACTGAAACATACTGCTGAGGGGAGCAGCGGGTGGGACAGGAAAGGTCTGCTGCGCCGTATGAGTCAGCTCCCTGGCCGGCGATCAAACTCATGCTGCAGTGGCTAACGATGGCTTGACAGCACTGAGACTTTAATGCCACCAGGGAGGCCCCAAGGTCCACTTTCTAAAACAGCATTTTTCTGATTGTGCAAAAGTAACACCTACTTACCGGAACACTTGTAATGTGTGTGAAGTCAGTAAATACAACATCTAAAATCTCACCACAGGTGCCAACGTGCTCTTGTGCCAGTGTGAATCACAGCTTCACATAACCATCATCACTGGACATTTTGATCATTTCCAACTTTTTGCTATTATAGCCCGGTGCTCAATATTGAATTCATCTATCTCTGTGTCTCACATTACTTTGTTTATTGTGAAATAAATTCAGGCTTGCAAAAAAGCTCATTAAAACAGAACAGAGAGCTCCAGCTACCCCTGTCTTTCCACTGTAAATGTTTTTATATAGCCGTTATGCAAACATAGAAGCCTGGAAATTGGTCAATACTGTGCTGTTTACTAACCTATGTGTTTTATTCAGATTTCTCCTCACCCCAAGACTATCCTTTTCTGTTCCAGGATCCACACTGCGTCCTGCGTCATGTCTCATTAGTCTTTTCCAATCCACCAGTCTTTTTTCTTTGTCTTTCACAAGCTTGACCTTTTTTCTAATTGAGGTAAAACTTGCATAATATAAGATTAACCATGTTAAAGTACGGCTCAGCAGTACCGGACAGTTAGATTACCATGCAATCCCCCTTTCTCTCTGGGTCCCTCACATTTCCACCAGATGGTGGCCCTTCCACAGGCCGGAGGCCGGGCATTCTGTGCCCCGTCCCGCCACGCTGTGCCTTCTGGCAGGAGCCCCCAAAAGTGATGTGTGTCCTCCTCCATGTTTGATGTTGATAATTGTAACCGCATGTGGTCTTCTTCATGGTTTTGTTAACTTTAATTTGGTTAAGTCAATCTAGTTTCCCTCCTCTAGAGTTAGTTTTACTCTTTGTAAGAGATACTTCGAGTTCTGACTCTTTAACAGCAGTTCCCCCCAAAAGCCCAAAGCTAGTCTCCGAAAAGGTGTGGGGAGAAGGCGCACAAGCAGAGCTGGCAGGACAGTGAGGCTCATGTGTGCACCTCCACTTTTCCTTCTGCGTTAACAGAAGGGATTATACCAATTATGTGAGGAAAACAAGACAAAACCTAGGACTGGGTGCACAGAGACAGCTCCGTGGTGGACAGAAACATAGGGATGATCAGTACCCATAAACCCACAGCAAATTCCCTCGGTTTCCAGAAGAGCTGGCGAAGCCCGAGGTCCTGGTGTGGGGTCGGAGCCTCTGCGGAGGGCGGCAAGGGCCTGGGAACTAGCCTGGCTCGGTCTGTAACTCCTTTGGGTTTCTCCCCTGCCCAACACCCTTAGTCTGTGGCCTGTTGGCTGAGCTGCAGCCAACACCCAGAGGCAGGTGAGTAGGCCACTTGGGAGAGGCCACAGGGTGTGTCCGCCGCATGACCAGGCCAGCCCTTGCCTCTCCACGGTGAGGCCCTGTGGCCTCTGGCTGCCAGCTGCATGCATGCACGTCGCCCCGTACCGCCCTGGTGCTCTGTACCCCTGCTGTACCGTCCCCTTTACGCTGAGTGTGCTGCACCCGCTGTGGGCAGGGCCCAGAACCCTTCGGGAGGGCTCCTGGCTCTCAGTGATCCCAGGATGGGCGGCCCGCTCGCGCCTGGGAACCGGGGCCCATGCAGCAGCCTGGCGCCCGCACAGCAGGTGCCTCGTTTAGCAAGGGCTGGGCAGACCCTGGGGAGGGGAGCAGGGGGCACCCGAGGGCGGGAGGGACACCGGCCAGTTCCCCGTAAGGTTCTGCTTGCTGCACTGCTCTACGCCACTTCCCACATCAGCCCCGAGGCCCCCAGCTCTGGCCAGGCCCAGAGCAGGCTGCGTGATGGCAGCCCCGTCTCAGGGTGCCGCCGTGGGGGCTGGGCGCGCCTGTGGAGGCCCGTCCGGTCCCGCTGACTCTGTCCCGTTGTCCCTCCAGGCCATTGAGCGCCTGAAGCGAAAGCAGCAGCCCAGGGAGCGCACGGGCAGCTGGAAGACCATCAAGGACACCTTTGGTGGGGGCTTCTCCCTGAGCTGGCTCAGCCCCTTCTCCAGACCATGGCACCCAGAGCCAGGCAGCGACAGGGACGGCTGGGTGCGGCAGGTGTCGTCGCTGTCAGACACCGATCACATGGAAAGCACGGAGGAGCAGTCAGAGGAGAGGAAGGACGAGGACTCTGTGGAGGTGACTGACGAGTGATGCTGCTGCGGAGGCCAGACGCGGACGCCCTGCCCTCCCGTAGGGCCGGGGCAGGCCATCCCCCCTCACCCCCGCCCCTCAGGTCACTCACCACGGTCACCCATCGTCACCTCTGCAACACTTGCTCTGTGGAGGGCCTCCATGCTGCGCCAGGGCTGGGGTGGCCGTGGGATGTAGGAGCAGGAAGAAAACTTCCATGAAGTTCCTCGAAGAAGAATCTGCCCAGAGAGGGCTTGTCAGCCTGCCCCGGCTGGGCCAGCCGAGGAGGCGCTGAACAGGGCCGCCCAGGGGCAGAAAGGAACTTGCCTTCGACTTTTCTTGGGGTATCTGTCTTTTCTTGGGAAGCTGAGGGCCTGGCGTCTGGCTTTTAAGATCTAGGCATGCCTCCGTTCTGGCAGGATAGGGCAAGCTGGCCCTCGAGGTTGGGGTGGACACTGACCTCAGGAGACACTGGCCAGGGGAGGCTGAGAGGGGCCGCTTGCTCCCTGGAAGGCTCCCCTTGCTGCGTGACTGAACGTCAGGGGGAAGGCCCTAGGCCAGGCTGGGCTTGGGAGAGGACCCCAACACTGGGACACACGCAGAGGTGCAGCCCCGCCAGGCTGTCAAGCCTGAAGTGTGACTTAGCACCCAGCGTAGCTCCCCTTTTTGACGCTAGAATCTTCACTGAGTCACAGCACCAAGCTACCGATCTGCCCCTCTGCGAGGCTCGGTGGGGTGGACGTCAGTAGGGACTCTCCGACCTCCCCTGTGAGAACGGCACTTTGATTTTCCCTCCCGGAGAGAGTCTAGCAGTACACATGTGCAAGACTGAGCAGAGTTCCTGCATGTGTGTTCCCGTCAGTTCGCCCAAGATAGTGCCCATGTCGTCTCTGAAAGGTCAGGTGGCAGCCAAGGCCTACAAACTGGTGAACTGTGAAGACAGACAAGAGAAGACACTCCCCGCCCCCTCCCACACGCACTGTCAGGATGAACCCGGTCATTTCATTTGAAGCATGAGGGGTCTACCACTATGACTGAAGGTCCAAGCAGGGACTTAGAGGCCCAAAACTCCTTTCCAATGGTTGCTGAAGCACCATTTCCATGGGCAGATTTGTGCAACAGTTGGTATAAGAATGGCTTCCCTACCCCAACCCAGGCCTAAGCCTTTGCTCTGCTCTTTAGCCTACTGCCCCAGGTTGGTGGGGGCTCAGGCACCCGGACCAAGCCTGCCTGCACCAGGTCTTTGTTTCAGGGCCCCTCTGGACCGACGAGCATGGTCCTGGTCCAGAGGCACCTACCGCCCCAGCTCAAAGGGAGAAGTTCGGTGTCTGGAGGCAAATTCCAGGCTATGTGGGAAGGAGGGGTGTGGTGGCAGCGGGGGTGAGAGGGAGCCAGGCTGTGTGGAAGGAGGGCTGTGGTGGCAGCGGGGGTGAGGGGGAGCCAGGCAAAGACCTCATGCTCGGATGATGTCCTTGGAGGCTCTGGGAAGGGCAAGGTGCTCTCAGACCACTGGTCTTCAGTGATGGCCCACAGGGCTCCTGGCTTAATTCTCAAAGGGGCCAGTGTTCACACAGCCACCTCTGCTGCTCCTGCCCAGAATTTTCTGCCCCACAAGTGGCTCACTGGACCCCAGAATTAACAGAGCAGCCAGAAAGGCACCAGCTTCCACACACAGGCCAGGCCACAGAGCCATTTTCTTGGTTCATATCAGCTTTACTATTCACTAAGGACACTGTAAGGGCCCTGGCCAGCTCTGGAGCCCATCAGCTTGCTGTCTGCCCCCACTAGGAGAGAGCTGGCTACTATGGCAGTCTGCCATTTGTTGAACCAGCCCAGCAGGCAGCCCCAGGGTGCCAGCATGGCAAAGAGACTACCTGGGAATGAAAGGGTGCCGCCTGCTGGAGTCCTCCAGGTGCAGCAACAAGCAGGGGGAAGAGGCCTCACTGCTCACTTTGCTGACAGTCAGTCAGCTGAGTTCGGGCCGAGGTGAGAGGTGTGTGCAGAACCACATGCCCTTGAGGAAGGGGGCCAGCTGGCCTGAAGGTTGTGTTTTCAGATTGGCTGGTGGGGAGGCATTTTACCTGCACGGAGTCACTGGCCCTGCCACCTCACTGCGCCCACTCCAGGTGAGACCTCAGCCACACCAGACCCCACTCAGGGAAGGGCTGGACTTGGCCCTGCCAGGCTGTGTGGGCGACAACTCAGCCCTGAGCCTGATGTCCTCACACAAGAGACACCAGCAGGTCACGTCCGAGGCAGATGACTGCATAACCTGCTTAGCCTCCCACAGTACTACACTGACAGCAATACAAGGGCCTTCCGGGGTGGGTGGCAGCATGAACATTTGCCTCTTTGAATAAAGCTCTTTGCCTGACCTTGGTGGCTGGAGTCTCCTGTTCCCAGTCCAGAAGCCCACCCCTAGCCCCCTCAGGGCAACCCCAGGAAAACCTTCCTCCTACTTCCCTTGTGGGAGACATGCCAAAGGTGTGTCCATCCCTCTGTGGGGCATCTCCCTTGGGGCAATTCCAGAAAAGGAAAACCCTGCTGTGCACAAGCATCCACTGAACACCTACTGTATGCCAGGGAGGTAGGCACTGGGGTGAAGTGTCAGGATTGAGGAGGGTTTTTCCAGTACATCTCCCCTAAATGTCATGCAGTAAAATAACCCCCACTCACCCTACATACTTACTTCTCCCAGAGAGTTGGCCAGTTGGAGTGACACCCCGAGAGGCTGGACCTCCTGAATGAGGCCCAGAATAAAGCCCCATTTAGTTCAGAGGATACAGTGGCTCCCCATGTCCATGGGACCCTGGCACAAGATACCTAAGGAAGTCTGTTCAAAGGAAGAAAGCAGTGATTCAGGGGACCATGTGTCCTCTTGAGGCAGTCAGAGTTTAAGGAAAAGCACACTGGTCACCTGAGTAAGTCGGTCTCTGGAGGACAGAGAAGGAGCCACTTCAGATATCACAAGGGCTTTCAGTCCAGCTCCTTCCAGGAGGCCTGCAGACCCTGCTCCTGGCCTAGCGGCCCTCGCCTGGGCCTACCTGAGGCTTCTGCGAAAAGGAAAGTGGACCCTCCAGGGTATGGGAGATGGGAGCAGAGTGTAACCGGTGGCTGCCTCCAAGCAAGTGAGCCCTTGGTGTGACGAGGTGGAAGTTTCTCAGGGGCTCCTGTGGGGCAGCTTTGGCTTCTCAAAGCCTATGGCTGCGAGGGGGGAACCCAGCTGGGATGCCTTACTGCAAACAACAGTGATCCAGCTGCATGTGTGCGTCTGTGTGTCCCAAGGTGTCTCTAGCTATAAAAGAGGTGATGCTGTGATTCCATGTGGCCTGGGCTGCTGGGTCTGGCTTCCTAGAGTTCGAGTGGGCCTTTGAGTGCCTTATCTTTCCCCAGCTCTTAAATCTGCCATCATATGAGTAATCAAATCTAACCATCTGAAGCCTAATGAGTTCTTGAGGCACCTGCACGCCAGGCCCACAGTGGGAGATGCTGAACTCCTCAGCCAGGGCTCAGAGCTCCAGCTTGTGTTTCCACAGCTTCAGGCAGATGAGAAGGATCTCAGCATGAACCTCTCACTTCATTGGAAGTAAATTTGGTGACACATTTTCTGTATCCAGCTTGCACTGGCATCTTCTGGATGACCTGGCCAGGTTACAATGCCCTGGAAAATTTGAAGACACGCAGACACGCAATCAGCTGAGGGTGCCACAGGGAGGTGGGGGCTGAGCTGTGTGAGGGGCCCAGCGCCCCAGCCTGAGCTCCTTGTCTAAAAGGTCCCAACCCCTTGGAGGCCAGCAGACGTCACTCTGGGTGCCACAGGCCGCTCCGAGGGGATTCAGCCCCGTCGTTCGGGGACTCCCTACCCCATCCTGCCAGTATTTGGTGTGGCTAGTCCACATGGTGATTGTTACAACTTGGATTGGTTGCTACCCCTTAAGGCCCGGAAGTCAGTGTAGAGGCTGACACACCACCTCTGGCTGTTTTGGGTCCCTCAGAAGACCCTGACATGCTGGGCGGCAGCCCACAGCCCCTGCCACAGCCACCTTCATTCCTGCGTGTCCCACCTCCCTCCTGCCCACTGCCCTCCTTGTTCCTGCCACTGGCCCGGTCAGCTTGAGCCTGTGCTCTGGGTGCAGACTTCCTTCCCGTTCCCATTCGCACTGGGAGAAGGCGGCCCACTGGGAACTAGCTCGGCACCTGGTCCCTTTGGTGCTGGTGGCTTCCTCCTGCCCGTTTCACTCCCACGTTAGAGCAACAGCTCTGTTCCCATTTCACAGATGCGGAACCTGAGGGCTAGCCTCTGAGGCTGAGGTCGGTCTCCTGGCTAGTTGAGAATACAGAGGCCCCGAAGGCCTCCCCAAATCTGGGGCCTGGCTTTGAGGGGTTCGAGGACTCAGGTCCTCCTGGGCTTCAGCTACCTCATAAGTGACTCCAAAAAGCTGGGAAGGGCACACGACGCGGGAGCTAGTCAACTGACGTAAGAGAGCCAGTCCCCCTCACATCACCGGGTGAAATTTAAAGCAAGCAAGCACGACGTTACTCAACCAATAGATTTATTTAACAGATCAAAAAGAGCTGTTGGGGGACCACAGATTAACACGCGAAGTGCTCGCTCCTGGGAATTCTCGCATGTGTGTGCCAAGCTCAGCGTCCCAAAGAGCTTATCTCTGCCATCTGTGGGAAGGGCTGAGGCAGCCTCAGCCAGGCCAAAGGTCCACGGTGGCACAATGCCCAGGCTTTCCACAGGCAGCATGTAGAACATCCTTTTTTTTTTTAAACATAAGTTTATTTTTACGTCATTTTGTACACTTTTTTTTTTCCATCACGATTGTAATCCCCGCAGGTTTCCTATCACCAAATCACCCGTGTGCCATTACCATAATCCCGTGCATTTTTCTCCCCCCCCAAACCCCACCCCCGTTTTCGATCCCATTCCCCACTCCACCCCCACAAAATGTCTCTGGTATATGGCTGTTCATTATTCTTGTTATTTTCTCGCCTGGTCCATTATACTCCTGCTATGAGTGAAACCATCCGGTATTTTTCTTTCTCTTTCTGGCTTATCTCACTAAGCATGATCTTTTCCAGCTCCACCCAAGTTGCTGCAAAAGACATGTGTTTCTGTTTTTTGGTTGCTGAGTAATATTCCATTGTATCTATGTACCACATCTTTTTTATCCAGTCATCTACTTTTGGCATGTAGAACATCCTTAAAGGCGCAAGTGAGGGTAACGTGCTGGCCACGCTGGCCTGTGCAGGCATCAGTGTACGGGGGGGTTCGGGGGAGACGTGGGAGTCAGGTGCTTATTTTCCTGATCAGTTAAAGCAGAAGAGAACCGCAGTCAGCAAGCCAAGGAGCACCTGCCGGCAGCAGACCACACTGTCTGAGGAAGAGAGGGGAGAATCTGTTCCAGGCCTTGCTCTTAGTTTCTGGTGCTGCCTGCAATCATATATGTATAATAACTGGACATCCTGAGTTTTGTCAGACTCTTTTTAAGGAATTCAGCCCAACCTATATCCTGGCCTCTTTACAGCCCCAAGCAGGATTTCCTTTGTCCTGGGTGGGGCCTTCCTGCAGCACCCTGCTCCGGCTGTAGCCTGTGGTTCTGAGAATACCCCCTCCAGAAGGAAGAAGGGGTACTAGGAGGCCTCCCCAAAAAGGCATTAAGCGAGAGACAGCTCTCCGCAAAGGCCCTTTCCAAGCTCCAGGATCAGGTGCCCGTATGTGTGCCCAGCCTGGGCCCTGCCCACCATGCCAACACATCCCTCCCTACCTGTGGCTGACAGTCCTACCTCACAAGCGAGCCCCAAAATGCCAAAATGACTTCCGAGCCTAGGTGCCTCACAGAAAGGTCCAGAGAAAGAAATGGAACTGAAGCTAAACACTGATCCTCCTCCCTCAGAAGGGAGGCACTTGAGACTGACACCCCCTCCCACCAGCACCCTCAGCTTGCATCTTGCTCTGCCTGTTCCAGGCGCTATCTCTTTGGGAATGGTCAGCCATCCATATAGCTCTTCCCATACAATTCCCACGGCCACCCACACCTCCCAGTTACCCCACCCCCTTGACAAGCAGACAGAAGACTAAACATGTAACCCCAAAGTTACACAGACATGTCAATGAACGACACATTCATTAATTAAATATATAATACAAACTTCCCCAGGGACCACTGAGCAAAAGCGGAAGCCAGAACTCATCCAGCTGGCTTCAAATGGCGACTATGCTGAGGCCCCCTAGTGTCCCTTACCCTGCGGCCTACTCAGCACCGCCTGGAAGTGCAACACGCATCTTAAAATGCACAGGGACAAAAGTGAGCTCTTGCCATTCCTGCCCTCATCTCTACATTCTTCACATCGGACAGGTCAGAATCAAAGGCACCCGCTTGCTTTCTCTCACACCCAGATTCAACTCATTGGCAAATGAAGTTTGACACAAACTCTGCCTTCAAAGTGCATTGAGTTTGGTCTCTTCTGAGAGGCCACCAGGACGACCCTAATAAAAAAGATGGATGGGGCCCTCCCTGATGGTGCAGCGGGTTAAAACGCAGCACTATGAAGCTATCACAGCCACTGCAGCACGAGTTCCATCCCAGGTCAGGGGGGTGACCCACATGGCGCAGCAGACCTCTCCTGACCCACCTCAGCAGTGCACTTCAATCTGCCTGTTCTGCTCCCCACTCTGTCTCTGGTGAAGCCTCTCACATCTCGCTCCTCTGGCCTGTACCCCAGTTCTGTATGCATAAATAAAATAAACCTTTTTTAAAAAAAGATGGATGATAACAAGGACAAGGAGAAACACACCATTGCCTGGCGTGGCTGGTGTGGGCAACAGTCTGGCAGGGCCTCAAAGAGTCACAAATGGAATTTTATCTAATCCAACAATTGCACTCCTAGTCATGAATCCAATAAAATTGAAAATGCCAGTCGGGACAAAAATGTGTCCACAAAAGATCTTAACAGCTTTCTTCCCAATAGCCAAAAAGTATCCACAGCCACGTGTCCATCAGAGGAAGGCTGGGTAAGCAGAACGGGCACATGCAGTGTGGTGGGGTACTGGTCACAGGGAGGAAGGACGGTGGGGTACTGGTCACAGGGAGGAAGGACGGACACTGCCCCCCGGTGAAAGGCTGTGTGCCATGCGATTCCACTGAGGGGAAATGTCCAGAATGAGCCAGTCCCACAGACGGAAGGCAGATGGGTGGCTGCCAGGAGGCGGGGCCAGGCGGGATGGAGAGTGACTGTTCCTGGGGATTAAGAGTTTCTTTTTGGGGTAATAAAATTGTTCTGGAATTAGATGATGATAGTCGAAACTTTAGTAGTTAGAATTTACAAAATAGAATTGTACTCTAAAATAAAGTGGAAAAAAACAAAACAAAACTGGAAAAACTGACCTAGCTGGGCACTGGCTGCTAAGGCTGGAAGTCAAACTCCAGAACAACAAAATCAAGCTCGAGCCACGGGGTGCTCACCCGGAGGCCAGATGTGCGTGCTGTCTATTGAGCTAATATGCATCTGGGGCAAGGCAGGCCATGGTGACCATGACTGCCCACCATTCTTCCTAGATGACTAGAGAGGTCGCTGCTCTCTGTGCAGTGACATCTCATCTCCGGTGGTCCTCTTGCATCTGCTGAACCAAGGGTGAGAGGGTCTTAGGCCCAGCACGGCCTGGGTGGGGGCCTGGCGCCTCAGGCCAACGCCTGCTCCAGGACTCTCTCGTCCTTCTCAGGATGGCCCAGGAGGCCTGGCACTGGCTCGCAGGAGCTTTTGCGTCTGGCCCTGTCTGGGCACCTGATCCCCAGCTGCAGAGCCCAAATTGCCTTTGTCCTCCTGAGAGACAGGATGTGGAGTGGGGGAGAACTGATGTGTTCCAGGGAACATCAGGGGCCCCAGAGGAGGTGGAAGGGGTTGGGTGAAAAAGGGCTCAGATAGAGGGAGTGACGTTTGACTGTAAAATGTGCTCCCACAGGCCTCTCAGGCTCTAGTGTGGCTGTGGGACAGTGAGGGACTAAGAGCCATGCCTTTGAGTCAGACTTGGGTTGATGTGGTTGTGGCGCTCATCAGCTGTGTGACCTTGGACAAAGTACTCAACCTCCCTGAGCCTTAGTTTCGAAACTTCTAAAATGGGAATAATAAGAGCACTTCCTCCACAGTATGGCCGAGGCTTCAATTGGTAAATAGGCTCATCGGCTAGCATTTTGTTAGTCACTGGCCTTGACCCCGTAGGGAACTCAGAAAAAAGCAGCAAACTGTGCCCTGGTTACCACTGAAGGGGTAGTTTACCGGGAGGGGGAGGGGATCCAAGGCAAATGAAAATGCCAATGTGCGAGGCACCAGGTCTGGTGGGCTTGAGAACTGCTGAAAGGCGGGTGTTTGGGGAGCCTCAACCAGCACAGGGAAGGGGTGGTTGAGCAAGTGGCAGGAGAGCCCTTGAGAGGCGCTCTAGGGCCAGAGTCCATCCAGGGGCCATGGACAGCTGCAGAAAGCAACCCCAGCAAGGCTACGATGGACGGCGGAGGTGAGGGATGAAGGTGCTAGGTGCATGGGGGCAAGGGCCAGCATGGACAGGCCCTTCTCTCGCCAAACCTGCTGGCCACCAGCCCCTCCCCATGGCCGACTGTTCACATCAGGCTCGGGACTGCTGGGAGGGAGCGCCCAGATATAGAACAGCTGAGCATTTCAAGGGAATGCAGGCCTTACACTCATCATTGTACCTGGGAACTCCATTCACAAGGTCAGGGAATCTGGGGAAGGAAACCCAAGGACAGAAGGGGGTCGAGGTGAAGTGAAGGGCAGCTTTCTTTCCTAGCAAGGAAAATAAAACACGGCTGCAAAGTGAAGTGAAGCTTTTCTCCTTGGAAGCAGCAAAACGGCAGGCGGCACCTCCTGCAGGAGGGGCCAGGTGACCACAGCAAGGCAGCGGGCATGGGCTGGGCCCTGCAGGAAGCAGAGCAGCTGAACCCAGGCTGGGGAGCTCTGGGCAGAACCTCCCCCACGCCAGGACTGGCAGCGCAGCCTGCTTCAAAGAACTGACTCCACCTCTGATAGGTTTAACTTACAAAAAAGTATTTATTAATCCAGTTTTTCTTCTCTTGCCGCAGCACAGAAGCACATCACGATGGCTGATACATCATCGTGACTTGTCAGAAAGCCCTGCAGGTCCCCGATCCAAAACCAGCTTTGGTCAGGCAACAGGACTACAATTACACAATGGTTTCCAGGGCCACATGAAACAGACCCATGACGCGGTCTCCAGCACCTGCCTCGGCCCAGGAGCGTGAGCACCAAAAGCGCTGTGGGTCAGGATTCCTGCAGGACGCCAGTGGGGCGCCTCCTTACGCAAGCCAGCGCTGTCCACCTCAGGCTGCTGGGTCACAGGCCCGCGCCCCTGGGGTGCAGGCCTGGCCTGAAGGCCTGGCCAGTTTAGTGTCTCCGTGGCTGACAGGTCGCCCTGGGACGCAGCGGTCCCCACGTGCCAGCACAAGCATCGGCCTTCCCAGCCGGGCCACCCAGCCACCAGGGCTACTGGCACTTGTGCGGAAGGGTCTTGCGGGCCGGAGGGAGGGTCCTGTGGATCAGGGCGAGTCCGCAGAGGATGAGGAACACTCCTCCCCACCATAAGACCTGCTGGCACTCTCCGTACAGCACATAGCCCAGCGCGGCCTACGGGACAAAGACAGTTGTGAGCCCCGGCCACTCGACTGTGGTGGGCGAGGACACGCTCACTGGGCAGGGGCTGACTCCCCGCAAGGGCGACAGGAAGGGAAAAGTCTGAGCTAGAAGTTCTGGGCCTGAAACCCAGCTGTCACCTTCAGCAAATCACTCTACTCATTTCTCTATTACCTGCACAAGTTGGAAGGGTCCCTTCCTCCCAGTATTGGACTCCAGCAAAGTGCACAAAAAAAGACCAGCAAAGGCTGGCAGCTGAGCCCAGCACCCAGCTGACACCTGGCATTTGGTGACCAGATCTGGGCACCATGCCCACTGCCTCAACCGCAGGACAGACAGACTCAACCCCGTCTCGGTGACCTCAGACAACCACAGGGATCAACCTCGGCCCTGCAGCTCAGGCTGGAGTTCACAGAACCCTAGTCTGCGCGGGCTTCAGATGGAGGCTCTAGCCCAGGGGAACAGCAAACAGGTAGGGTTTTTTTTTTCTTTTCTTTTCAAGATTTATTTACTTATGCATGCAAGAGCCATGAAAGGATTCACAAGACACAGTGGGGAGCAGAAGGCAGGTCAGGAAGGGTCTGCCATGCCCTGTGGGTCACCTCCGGGACTGGGGATCGAACTTGCCTTGAAGCAGCGGCCAGCATGCAGGGCTGCGTCCTCACCCAGTTGCGCCACCAGGGAGGCTCCAGGCAGGGTTTTAACAGTTGAATTACAATCCCATCTAACTTGAGAATTTCTCCATGCTTGAGAGGTTAGAGGGGCAGAGCACAGAGCTAGTCACAGCTCCACTGCTGCTCCCTTCCTGTCCTTGCTCCTATCTGGGCAAATGCCCTCCCAGAGCCCAGGTTTAGGACAGGATGCCCCAACCCTCAGGCTACTTACCGAGCTGAGGATGTTCGAGAAAGTCACTGTGACAGACGCAATGGCCGAAGACATGGAGAAACTGAGGCCCCGACTAAAGAATGTCCACATCAGAGAATTGGTGGTCGCCATCATAATAATGCTTATGATGCACAAGCCCACGTTCACCTGCAGGAGAAAGTGTCACTGCAGCCATACGCAGGCCAAGCAGTATGACTTGCAGCACACCCAGGCCCACTGAGGCCCCACTACAGCCCAGGGGCCCCCAATTTTCCAGCTCAGGACTTTACTGAACCCTCAGTGGGCAGAACACCTACTCTGTGGCTGAAATAACCTGAGAGAAGGCACGTATTTGTCCATCTTGCTGGCCATGTGACCTTGGGCAGAATTAAAAGCTAATCTATAATCAGTATTTCCCTTTTGGTTCCAGTGACCAATTCTCAAAAAGCAATCCCTGAGGGTCAAATATCTGTTATTTAGTGTTCAGTAGGAGCCAATCGGGGGCCCAGTCCTCACTTCTAGGATCAGGTGAAGCATGACCTGGTCATGTATGCCCCAAACTGTGCAAACGGCCCTCATGTTCCACTGAGCAACTGAGAGCACTTACTCCATGCTGGGCCCTGCGCTGAGGTTTCTAAGTAAATTCTCATTCATTCATGAACTTCACTTCACAGATAAAGAAACTGAAGCATCCGGCAGCTTGCCTAAGTGCCAGGGGTGGTGGCAGTAGCCAGGATTCAACCCCTGGCAATGTGGCTCCCTGCTCTTAGCCAGGACAGCTTGCCTGGGGAAAACCACCTGAGGCTGCTGGCCTGGTGATCCCAGGACTCACTTGGAGTACTTGCAGATTTCTTTTTCTTTTCCTTTTTTCTTTCCTTTCCCAAAGGAGAGAGGCTTGAGAGAAGCAAATCTTCAAAAGCCTCTGACACAGAGGACAAGCAAACAGCCTTGCTTGGTTCTAAGTCAGAAACCTGCCTGGGACCAGGCTCCTTGCTGGGGGTTGTGCCTGTCTAAACATCAGACTCCTATTTCCTCTAACAGTTTTCCAGCAGCTAGGTAAACAGTGTATTGCCTGTATCTCCCTATAACTGGCACAAAAGCACTGTGCACCCCTGTGCTACCTGCTTACCTGAGTGCCGAGAGCCTGGTGCACAAATGAAAGCACCCACTCTGCCACTTATCTGGCTCTGATCACTTAGTCCAAGTGACACCCAACAGGATGCCAACCTCAAGCACTGCAGCTCCCGCTGGATTAGTCCTAATTAGGTTTAAATCTAATTATCTGGGTCAGTAGCTGACCGCGGCCTGCCGCTGGGGTGAAAACACTCTAACGAGGAAAAGCTGGTCAAAGGTTCTGGCCGGGCAGACTTGGGGAGGCCGCTTCGGAGTCTCAGCAACAGGGAAATATCCACACCGTTTCTCTACGTCCCTTAATACTTAGGGTATCCCAAGCGCCCCTCTTTCCTGACAGCAAAGCAGGTGGATCATAACATGGGCCAGAATAACATGGGCCATGGGCTTCTCACCTTAAGTCACGTGGAGAGAAATTTTCTGGCACAAGGGGCATAAAATGAGAGGTAGAGAGTGGTGTACGAGGTGCGTCTTCCCAGAGAGCGAACTAGCCCAATCAGAGGACAGATTTTGGGTCGCTGGCAAGGGGACAGGCCTCAGTCCCCGACGTCGCTTACCGCCTACAGTGGACGATGGTCTGACTGATGCAC